AAACTATTATCCCTGCCCAATAATAAAATTATTGGGCAGAAAATCATAGTAAGCCACCGGATAAAACCGTTATTAGGCATGCTGATACTGCCTTATAACTTATTTATTTGGTCAAGGATTTAAGGTCAGCCTAAAAATTGAATTCCTTCGGAATTCAATTTCTTTGTCTGATCTTAAAATCCTCGACCAAATAAACCAGTTATCAGGCAGTGCCTGCCTGATAACTATTAATTATTGTTGGCATAATAGCTGACTTTAGTCATCAAAGACTAATTTACATTTTTAAGGCATATTTTTGAAAGATTTTACATACATTTTTATTTTTTTATAATAATGGGCTTGATTACTTGCTTGTTGTATATTGCATAAAGTGTGTGCGATATCAAAGGCTAAATAATTTATCTCACAAAAAGTAAACATATTAAGATTTTATTTATTCACACACTAAAATCTAAATGTCTTTCTAGAACGATTATTCAAAATTTATAGTCTGATTAGAGATAAGGACCGATTTCCCTGTTGTCAATATATAGTAGACCTTTAATATCAATTATATGCTATCAAACTATTAAGGTATGTCAAAAATGCCACGCGGTGACTTAGTAATTATTTGAGCAAATTTTTTCTTATGCTAAAACAAATTAGGCAACAAAAGTACATGCATCGATTATTATCGGAATTTAATACTAAAATTTTTCCGATTACAACAATTGCTATTAAGTATTATATTGTTTTTTTGCATATTAAGATTTGTTACACAATTATATACTGATACAGTTAACTACATATGTGCATACGTAAGTCTGAAGAAAAGAAATCTTAGATTTTAGAAGGTTTGTGCGTGGGAAATCTGCATAAATACTGTAAAGGAATTATATATAAATATATTAATATTATGATTCATAAATTTATTAAGTATAGACTTAAATTATTAGCGTTATAGGGCATAAATATCAATATCATACGATTATTGATTAACTTATTTGTGTTTAACATTTATCGTTATACAATTAAATTTAAGGGTGATTAATTATGATAAATACAGGCTGCGTATCAAAATTCTGGTATTTTCATTGATAAAAGTTACCTAAAAGAATTATTTAACGATAGCTTTTAGAATTTTAAATTTAAATCTTGACCTTTGATAGTAAATATTTCAAAGGAATTGTTGAACTAAAATTTAAGAATGGAAGAGTATATTGAGTAACTTTTGTGATGATATTTATCAATATTTGTTATTATTTAGCATTTCTCAAATTAGTTTTTCGCGAAATTCTTAAAAACAAACAAATTTTAGAAAGATTAATAGTATATTATTAGAATAGATATTATTATGAAACTATATTTTAATCTAACGAAAATACTTTCTATAAACATCTTAGCTATTACATATACATATCTAATATATGAATTTATGGTTTAATTGTTCTTTTTTTCTATGAAAATAATGAAATTTCTATAAGATAATAACGAAAAATTTTTGTCAGAAAATTTGCCAATAGATTTGCCAGTAAGATTTGCCAACGACGAAAGTTTAATATTTATCAATTTCTGATATCGAGGATAGACCGAATTTGAGTCGCATAAGTATGAAATACACTTTTTTCGACAGGAGTTAAGCTTCTCCATATTTTATTTGCGGATAGGTTAATAATTTCCCCATCAGTCACATTTATAAGATAGCCTTCTTCGATGATTCGCTTCTTGAATAAACTGTAAGCGGTAATAAATTTTCGATTATTTGTTCTTTGTAAAATTTGTGTATATAAGTTTATATTAAGACGAAAAATTCTTTGAAAAACCAAATGACTTTGGATATAAGTGATGAAATTATTTACTTCATCTATTAAATCTATAGTATCCATATTATTATCCATATTATTTCTTAAGGACTTAACTAACGTAAATGAAGAAGATGCTAAAGGGTCGCCTTTTATATTTTTACATTAATAAGTCATGCGGTATAGTTCGGTTAATGTCTTAAACTCCTAAATGATAGTAAATAGTAACAAAGAAATTCATCTTGTAATCTTATCATATCAAAAATCTCGCGTTGAAGAACAATACAATTTTTTTTTTAGATAGTTGTGTTCCCTTATAATCGTCATGTGTGTAATCATAAGACAGTTTTCTGGCACTAAAAATCTGCAAATTAAAATTGTTATTAAACGTTTTTGGATTTGACAAGTTTAAAATATGGCTCGTTAGCATAAAAGTCCCGATTTTCATTCAATTATGTAAATGCATAAAATGGTTATGACCAAATGATATGTAATCAACTTGATTCTGCTGATTAACTTAAATTACGAATAACATGATCAATTACAAAAAACTATACTTTGTTTTTCTGATTTTAAAGAAATAAAAAATATTGGAAAGTCCGAAAATACTAAAAATATTGCACAAATGAAATTTTTTTTTTATCCCTTACTCTGTAAGCCGAATTGCCGGTACTTAGATACCCAATCATCTTCACATTTTTAGCCCCCAAAATTGCCTGCGCAGTTCTGCAGTTATGTCGGCAATACAAATACTTACGTCAGGCATTTAGAGGTAGTACAAGATCGTGATTTCAAAGGACCCCAAAAATTGAGCGAAGAAATAAAAGGATATAGAGGCTATGTGCTAAAAAAGAATACCATTTTTCAAAGATTATCAAACAAAACGATGTAGTCTTCTTATGATACCATGTACTCTTAGATTAATAATTTATCGAAAAATGCAAATTGCAGGCAAATTTGCCTGCAAAACGGAGTAAGGGATAGTAAATTATATTAGCAAGTCTGTATCAATATTGCTTATCAATTAAAGTTTTTTTGCCTTTGTATCATTTTCGATAGCTTTCATGACATACTATAAATGTTTCCTTTTCAATTCACCAATCATATGTGTTATGATTTATATGAAAATTTATAGTAAGAATACCCGATTCACATATCAAGCATTCAAAAGTAGCTCAGAAAAGAATTGCACGGTTATCAAGTGATCGTCATAGGATCAGGTGGTATCTCAATCATTTCACAGATCTACCATACTTCACCAGTTTTGTAGTACAGTATCAACATCACACCGAGTGACAATTTTACTAAAACTAAAAATATATACTTGTAACTAATCAAATGCTAACCTTAACCCCATGTGATGTCGGCTAAATGTCGGTTAAGTGAGTAGTGCCGCTACTACTACTACTACATTTCACAGATGGTCAGGATTAACCCGATTTAGAGAATAATTAGGTGTCAGAGAAATGATTATCGGCAAATAAAGCAACAGGCAACAGTACAAAAAAAAATAACTATGCATAAAAACTTAAAGATAACGACTTTTTCAAGTAGGTAGTTTCACAGAATTGAATAGACTACTTAGATAAAATACTTCTTGTTTTTATATTACAGTATTCGATAACAAACATAATAAAACGTAAAACTTTAAGAATAAGAGATCAATCAAAGCCAGAATTTTCATTTTGATGCGATGTAGCATTGATTGGACTGGAGATTTCGTAATACTAATGATATGCATATAAGGGTATCTTGGGCTTTGAATAATAGCGAATTTGGGGTATTTTTGAATTACAGTTTAGAAACATCTAGATCATACACACTATTAATAGTTAGTATTGATATTTTTTTTTATTGTTTTCAGCTAAACTAGTGTTAGTAAAAAGTATTCTGAAAATCCGTCGTTTACATATTATAATTAGTGTTGTACATTTTCATTGTTCAAAGAATTTTGTGTGAAGTTTTCTCAATAATTACCTATCCAAATTCAATTAAATTTTTTTATTTTAATTCTACAAATATATAGAATTAAAATAAAAACATTTCATCAAATTTGAACACGTAATTATTGAGAAAACTTTACTCAAAATTCTTTGGACAATGAAATTGTACAACACTGACTATAATAATTAATTAATGTGTATATGTTTTTAAAAAAAAATTGTTTCTTCAATTTCTTTGATGAATGCCGTGAAACAAAGTGATCAAAATCGGAGATGTAGTTTATAGTTATTTATAATTGCATATAATGCATTATGTTATCCTCATTATGTAATTTATTATATTGGTAAGTTAATTATATAAGCTCTATGAATAATTTAAATAATTCTAAAGCAATAGATTATCTCTCTTTTGCGATGAATAAAGATTCATAAAAAGAATATGTACATATAAAAAAGTTTAATAATAATAGTAAATTAGCATTGATTAAATCTGATGCTTTAGATACTTGTTTATGCAATTTTTGATAATGACTCAATTTAATCTTAATTTGATTATAATTTAAAGTCATTTCACTAGTTTATGCGTCTTGATTAATTTAGAGTCATTTGACTAGTTTGTTGCGTCTTTGATTAATTCAGGGACGTTTCGACTAGTTTTTATGTCTTAATTTTATAATACTGTAATATTCATGTAAATTTTACAATTTTTTTGTTTACATAAATTATCTCATATTTGAATTATTTTTGCAACTTTAAAATGATTGTAACTAAGATATCTTAGACAATTCTCTGCGTTTACAAAATAATTGATGCAGAACCGGAATTATAATAGCGTGTTATAATAAACATATACACATAATGATAAAAATATTTAATCATTCATGTGTTTATTTTTTTTTGTTCTAACAGCGCTGCATATATGTAGTACCACTGATCTTTTACAAGAAAACCAATATTAATTAAACAATACCCGATGTACTGCGTGAAGAAAGAGAGATATTATACAAGGGATACACTGAATTGGTATTAAGTCTATTGTAGGTAACCCATGTTATTGGCACTAGGGGATGATAAATCAATTAGGACAAATAAGTATTTACGATATAAAATTATAGTAAACGCTTATTTGTCACTCCCATTCATTAGTCACCCCATGTGCCAAATAAAAAGGTTGCCTTCAATCAATCCTACAATAGGTTTAAGGATCATTGACTCGACCACTTTTCAATAATGTATAATGTAGAATTTACGGTTATAGTATAGATGGACATGTATAATTATTATAAAATCATAATATATTAGCTGTTTTAAACCAATTATGAATATTAGAGTTTAAATTAACTCAAATAGTTAGCTTTATATATATTACAATTTTATAATAATTTTATATGCTAACCTATATTATAGAAGATCCGAATTTACAATTGAATAGTACCCCGATGCTATTAAAGGGGATATTTCTTCAAGGAAGTACTATATGCAACAATGTACAGTACTGGATTTTAAAGTTTATCGATTTTGTTAATATTCATATAAGATTTTTATAATGCAGAATTTTATTGCCCAATACCATTTACTTATTTTTTGCAAATAACAAAATCCGAAAATTAGAATTAACCAATGTTTTCTAGAATTTCAGACGCCAGCCTTCATGATGTTATTGGAACATTCCTGCTTATTAAAAAAAAAAAAAAAGCCTGCACACTAAGTCTCAATTAAATTTCTTTAGTAATCATTATGTTGCAGAGATTTCTTAGATTATTAATCAACTTCATAATATGGTGATACAGTAAGTCCTATAAAAAAAGTTGTACAGTTATTGTAGGCATTGTCCAAAAAAATGTTTGGAACGGAGTCGATTTCCGAACAGGGTTTATGTTCATAACAATGTCTGTATGGGATGTAAAAATAGAAAGTTTTTGATAGAAAATTATTGTATAAAAACTTATAAAAAACGCATTAATCCAATAAACATCCTTTAAATGTTCGAAACGGATTCGATTTTTCGAACAAAAAAAATCGAATAATTTCGGAATTTTCCGAACAATTCAACAGATTTTTTTTATAGGGAAGCCCTTATAAATTTAAGTTTACTATAGGTAAGATATATGATAACATAAAAGTTAATAAACCAAATACCGGTATTCCAAAAGTTCCTATACACGATCCTTTTTTCAAGTGACCTTATATATAGTGTATATTTTGTATAAATACCATAAAGTTCCGAATATAAGTAATTCCCGAAAATAACCAATACTTCAATTTTAATGTTAAAATACTAAAAATAAAATAAGTAACCCTTTTAAAATTGCTAAATATAACAAAATTAAGAATAATTTTTATTAAAATTGACAATAGAAATTAGGTATTTCAGAGTTACTGAAATTAAGCAACCCTTCTAATGGGTGGCTTAGAGGAGTACTTATATTTAGGGCTTTTTACGATAATAGTCAATGTTTATTTCACGTGTGCGCACATGCGTGCTCGTGTGCGGATCCAATTAAAATTTTAAATAAACCACTTTGTTTGGATCCGCACATGTGCGCACACTTTTATGCACGCAAAAATAAACCCTGGTAATAGTGATTTCTATATGTAAGGTCATTTAAAAAAAGGGACCATGTATAGGAACTTTTGGAACACCTGTATAATACTTGTATAATCCATTAATGTTGTTATCTGGTAAATAGAAAAGAAGTAGCATGATAATTCGCTTTATGAAAAACATTAGTTTCGATTAACATATTATTAATTTAGAAGTTGCTAATATTTAAAAATAAATAATAAGCCCATGGCCGTTTGATGATCTTCACACAATGATAACCCTGGCCTATCCTGAGGTGTCTAAGGGCCTTCAGGATGCGTAAGGAATATATATATATATATATAATACTATAAATTCATTTATTTCTAAATAAATTATAACATGAATAAAAAAATGGGTTATTAACTCTCCGGTTCCGGTTTCTTCCTTTGACCAATTATTACAATAAATTGATTGACTGACTTTTTATTTAATTTATATTAACAAATAATTTATTTGTTTTTATAAACGTATGCACGAATGCATGAACGATAATAATTATAGCGTAACCAATTATTGTATTAGATCATTGCTACTATTTAGATAATCTATTTAGATTATCTATTCCCTCTCCGAAGTTAATGCATTTTTTTTGTTCTTCAAATGGATATTCCGAAAGTTTTCGCTAAAAATAAGCAATTATTATTGGGTTGTGTTCAAAACCAATAAAAATTAATAATAATATACAGTAATAAATTAATAATTTGCTGAAATAGGATTGTTTTATGATTTGAATAACGTAATAAGATTTTTAACGATATGTAGCAATTCCTTATTTTGATAACAGGACATTATGTAGCGATTCCTTATTTTGATAACAGGTTAGTTAGTATTCTTTTTTTTTTTATTCTTGAACATTCTTTGAATTATATGATTACACGTATAATTTAAACCTATTAATTCTCCGAGTATTGTAATAAATCATATGGGTAGTACAATATCTCTGCAGATATTTTCTTTGGAGAACGAATCAATGATTCCATCCAAGGAATTTGATCAGTTCATGTTGGCTGTGCATTAATATATTTGTGCTATCTTGTATGGTATTATGTAAAAACATGGCATTATAAATTACGTTAGAGCCGAGATCTGGATAATCCGGGAATTCCATTTTAGTTCTTCTGGATAATCAATCTGCTTATTACAGTATTAGTTACCTATATCCGTTTAATATGTTATTTGTCCGCTATCACTATTAGTTTGGTTTATTCGGATAGTATTGTGCTAATATATTACCCGGTTCAAATCCGGAAATACGGATATCTTTGTAAATTACCGAATTATTAATAATAAAATTTCATTACGATTTTACTCATTGACTCGGGTAATACGAACCAAAAAAAGGAAATCGAATTTTGTAGCATAAAAATAGAAGTTTAGGATAAGGACGTGAGAGTTGTGAGCTTCAGTGATAAGTTGGAGTTTCTTATATGTAAAATTTCATCCCCGTTATTTTTTATTAGTTCACCAAGGTAGATGTAAACACTTAGTTTTTGAATATTTTGGCATTCTTTCTTTTTTTCTTCTTTCGCACGTGTTCGGATTCTATATCGGCTGATCCGGAATACCCGAAATTTCTGTTCACTGATTGGCTATTTCCTTTTTAGAGGTTTGTATTACCCGCACAAATAAGTAGCTGCGGGAATTACTATTTCCTTGGAACCTTATAAAATCCGCTTACCCCAACTTTAATCCAAATTCGATTCTCTAATATTCTAGTTGATCTACATTGTCACACGGAAAAGTGGGGTACAGAGCTAATCCAAATCAACCAACAAAACCGATAAACCCAAGACAACCTATCAAAAGAGACGCTTAGATTTGGCGAATGGATAATGCAAGGCCAGTCATCTCTATAAACAGGAACGTTACATTCGAGGATACACGTAAACAAAATAATCGATGGACACACTATAAAACTTAGTAGAATATCGGAAATAGGTCATTAAGGGAACAATTAATTGTGGATTCAACAACTGATTGATATTTTCAGTGGGAAGAAAAGGCCTTTTATTCATAATAAAAATAATACATATCCCAAAGATAACAATCTACTAATACTACGTACCAATAATAACTAAAATGACCTTTCCGTCATTGTTAAGAATGTAATTATTGTTATCATTATGAGTAGGGATGTTATCCTGCTTCGTGTAACATAAAATAGTTTTTCAAATAACTTGTTAATATTTGATTGGATTAATTATTTATAATAAGTAACTTTATTCGAAAAGACATTAGCGACAAGTTTGATTAGTAGTAAAAAAACTAAAAATCATACTCGAAACGAGTAATTGCTTCTAAGCAGTTTTAAGTAAGCCGGTTTAATAAACAGAGTTTCTAAGTACTAAAAATGATAATACTTATTTTACATTGAGTTAAATTACTAACTGCCATTAATGAAGTATGTTCTTAATAGAATTATAAATAAGCTTAATTAGCCACAAATCAAAAAGCAAACATAGTAATAATGAGAAAAAATTATTAAGCAGATTTGAACATCTCAAATTATGAATATCATGAGTACTCGCAAATATGTCAACAATGTTAACACCAACATTGGGAATTCTGGAAAGGCAATACGAAAAAGTTGATGATCGACATCGAAAATACTGCGGTGGCGTCATGTGGGGTACGCCGAAATTTGCCAATATTCCAGGTTACATTTTATGGAAACAGTAGATTGACGTGTTTAAAATAGGGCACTTGATGTGTGAAATAACGAAGCGTTTGGTTATTATGATATTTTTAATGCCAAGATCTTAAAAATAATTTGGGCACAGTAAAAATGCAAATTTCTGCACGACTTGAAACACAGATACTATATTTATATCTTTGTATGAAATTTGTTTATACCGATAAAACTAAGTGCATGACAATCAATTATAAAAATGTTTTTTTATTCGTGTAAAAAAAAAAAAAATTTCGTATAAGGCCACACAAAGTAAATTTTTCGTTTTGCATTACCCACCGACCCATTTTTTCAATTTTTCGAGATTTTTTTTTTTTTTTTTTTAGGTTCCAATTGTGCCAATTGTTCTTTTTTTGCCATTTAATTTTCCCCCATAAATTAATCCGGTACCACCCGATGAAGACCTTATTTTTCCGGAATTGACTGATAAAAAAAAATTCGATTGCCGGCCCAATTTTCTGATTCCATGATATGCAAAGCGAAAAATTAACTATACATGGCCTTAAATATGAACATGAGTCTATTAATCAATGTAAATTTTTTTTTAAAAAAAAAAAAAAAAATCCGACCGACCGACCGTTGATTTTGAAATCCAAAACGAAAAATTAACTTTGCGTGGCCTAATAGTGGACTGCCAAATTTTTATGCAATAGCTTTATATTTTGATAGTAGTTTAGTTTTAGAACCCTATCAGGAACGGTATGCAAATCGGTTTTTTTTTCGTCCCATCAAGAACAGTACCGACGATCCATCAGGAACAGTAGTTTTGCAACTTGTAGAATTAAATTTTAAAAAAATTTTATTAAAATTATTAAGTTTTTGTTAAGTTATCCTTGTTTAAAGTTTTAAAAAGTATTTGCTTGATTTTTATTGACTCAACCCTATATAGAAAAGAATAAAAAAAAAATAGAAATAAAATAAATCAAAATAAAAAACACGTAAATTGAACCGGTTTATAATTTACAATAGATTGCCCGGTTTATGATCATGTGACGAAGATCCAGGGACGATTTATATCGATTTGTTCATGATTGACCAATAAGAATTCATGATTTGTGTAACATTAAATAATGTGATCAGTACAGCAGTATACAGGTCATAGGAAGACATTCGTCTGATTGGTTAATTTTTGTAGATCTACCCGTGAGTCTCCGTAATAATTAGCCAATCAAA